GTGGTTGTGGCATGAGATTACCATGGATTTCATCACAAAATTTCCAAGGATGACACGTTGCGTCATTGTTGATAGATTGACCAAGAGTGTATATTTCATACTAGTTGCTGAAAGCATATATGTTGAGAAGTTATTTGACATCTACATTCGGGGGTGGTAGTTCGGCACGGGGTACCACTTTTGGTGGTTTCGGACTAGGATATTCGTTTCACCTCCAGGTTTTGGAGGAAGTTTCATGATGAATTGAATACTCGGTTGCATTTTCGTACAATATATCATCCCCAGACTAACGGCCAAAGACAGCGGACGATTCAGATGCTCAAAGATATGCTCCGGGATTGTGTGCTAGATTTTGGAGGGAGTTGGGATACTTACATTCCACTGGACGAGTTCTTCTAAAACAACAGTTACCATGCCAGTATTGACCGACCATTGTTTGAGATGTTATATGGAAGGAGGTGTAGGACCCCGATTTGTTGGGGGAGGTCGGGCATCGGGTAATCGAGAGTATTGAGGTTGTACTCAAGACCACTGAGTTGATTCAGCAAGTGTGTGACAGGTTGTGAGTCGCACAAAGCCGAAAAAAGAGCTATGCATATTGGCGATGTTCGGACCTCGAGTTTCGGGTAGGAGACTTGGTGCTTTTGAAGGTGTCACCTTGGAAAGGTGTCATCCGATTTCGGAAGTGGGGCTAATGCTTGTGGGGCAGGTGACGGTAGCGGACTTCGAGGATGAAGTCCAGTTTAAGTGGGGGAGAGTTGTAACACCCGGAAGCCAGAAGGCTGATTAAGGAAAGATAATAACCAAATTGAAAGTCTACTCGTCGAGTCCAAGGGGGACAACTCAACGAGTAGAAATAAGTTATTGGACACAGGTTGAGAAACCTACTCGATGAGTTGGGGAGGACCAACTCGACGAGTTGGTCTGGGTTTGGGAAACCCTAAATTCGGGGTTTGCACCCTATTTAAGCATCTTAATCCCCACCTTATGGCCTCATTTCCAGCCTCCATTATCCAAACCCTAGATCTCGAAACCCTAATGCTTGTAAGCCATTTTTAGTGAACCTTGTGTGATTTGAAGCTCGTAGAAGAAGAAGAAGAAGCTAGATGATTCCAAGAGAAGATTATAGATGCAGAAACAACATTTCATCCTTATCCTTTGCTCGTAATCAAGCCTCTAACTTGCCTAGTAGTCTTTTAGATCTCCTTATTTCACTTTATGAGGGTTTTGGTCCATGAAGTTTAGTCTTTGGGTAATGGACGTCCCAAGTGACTTATCTTTCAGATATGGGATCTAGAAGGGGTTTCATGGCATAAAGGTGCAAACTTTATGGCCATGGAAGCACCATGCAAGCTTTAAAGTGTTGTTCTTGCTTTTAAAGCCCCAAAAGGCCATGCATGGAAGGAAAGCCTGAGAATTTACGCATCCAAATGAGGTTTAAGTTCTATATCTATGTTAGTATGCTTTAGTTCGGAGTATTATGGCTTTTTGGACAAGATCTATGTCCTAAAGAACTAGGGTTTTAGTTAAACCCATTAAGAAGGACTAGTAGCGGGTAAAGTTTGAAACTTTACCCTTGAGAAGGCATTTTCTGTATGTAGAAGAAGTATGGGGTCTTGATCTGGAGAATAGAGGCTTAATCTGTTAAAATGGCCCAAACAGACTGGGGGACTCGTCAAGTCCATAGAGGAACTCGATGAGTTGAATCGTGTTTTCTCGATTTCAGTTTAGGGTAGAACTCGACGAGTCTATGAAGGGACTCGACGAGTTGAGTCGACAAATTGTCAGGGAACGCGGCGAGTCAGGAGGGTGAGTTGACGAGTTGGATCGCAAGTTCAGGGTTCTGATTTATAGAACTCAGCGAGTTGATGGAGCAACTCGGCAAATTGAGTCAACTCGGAGTGTTGACTTTAACTTTGACCAAGCGTTGAATTTGACTTTGACCAGGGTAAAATGGTTATTTTACCTTATCAAGGATTATCAGTTCTTGGCTAAGTATTATGTTGGTAATGATAGTTCGGGGAGTCGAGTGATCAGCAGTTCAGGGATATGCCGGCTAGCAACGAGAGGTTTATTCGAGGGATTCTACAGTCAGCTTGCGAGGTGAGTTTTCTCCTATAGGAACAGGTCTAAGGCACCAATGTTGGCCCATTTATGTATGTTAGTGTATACCGGATTTAGATCCAACGCTAGGGTTAGCCCGATGTAGTTTATATGCTTCCGGATTACGGTCCGATGTCGGGCGAGGCCCGAGGAAGGTTTATATATATATATATATATATATATATATATATATATATATATATATATATATATATATATATATATATATATGTTTCGAACTATGGTTTGATGTCGGGTGGTACCAGAGGAAGGAATGCATGTTTAGTTATATTTTTTGTCTTTGTGATACTTGTATGTGTCTGGTAGGGAGGTGAGTGTGGGCGGGGGCCCGTATCTCATCACTAGTTGAGTGTGGACAGGGTTGCATATCTCATTATTAGCAGAGTAGGGGCGGGGCCTTGAGACTAATAGTTATAGTGTTGTGTTTGTCTGTTATGTACTAGCATGATTATGCTTATATGTTTGTATGTGTATAGCGGGTGGGGCCTAGAGACAGGCGGGGTCTGATAGAAACATATTTGTATACCGAGCGGGGCTCGATGCCAGGCAGAGCCTAATGTTGAATTTGTCCGATGTCGGGCGAGGCCCGAGGTAGCAGGCTAGGCCCAATGTATGTTGTTATGTGCTTATGTGTATGGTATGTGGTAGCTTGGGGAGACTCACTAAGCTTCATGCTTACAGTTTTAAGTTTTGGTTTCAGGTATTTCCACTAACAAGGGGAAGAGCTCGGGATGACTACATGGCACACACCATAGTTTTTAGTCTGGGATGATTTACTCTGATATTTCGACACATGATTTTTACACAGTATTTTGTCATGATGATTTGAGATACCTAAATTATGATCTCTATTGTGATGTTAGATGAATTATGGTTTTCTTAAATGGTTTTAAAACGAAATTTTTGGATCGTATTTTTGGGATGTTACAAAAAACATCGATTTATTGTCGTGATGAACAATTATCATATTATTCTTTAATCATCTACCCCTATCTTGTGGGCGTTACATATAACTTGTACATGACACGTTTTTTTATGATGGGTGCCCTTCATGTTTTTTTTGTAACACTAATTTTAGGACACGCAAAAATGTATGTCTTAAATCCTTCAAATTATGGGAGAGACGCCATTATTTTTAGGATACACACTTTTGTGTATCATAAAACCAGTGTATCTCATTATAGGCATATATTCTAGTAATTAATGTCATTAGTTTTCTCTTTATATATGCCCCTCATACTTACATGTAAGGGTATTTTAGTCCTTTTACATATCGTCGGTTATAGACTGTATATGGCACCATTGGGGTATAACGAAGTGTTGTATACCACATCCTTGTTCATTACAATTGATTTCTTTATCAATGGACAATAATGGTGAGGTAAGGTGTTAACATAGTTGTGTTTGATATATAATGTCATTATAGTAATGCAATATGTTTCCATTCTACTTTCTTCTTCTCTATAAATGTGTTGAGCTGTTAATTAACATTTTTTTTATTGTACAGTCGGACATACAACAATTTTATAAATATGGTTGTTATGTGGAGCGGAGTTCACCAAGTTTCATAGGAGAATATACATCAAGGGTAAGGAGAATATGTTGACTTAGTTGACATTGATGAACTTTCATTCTACAACATTGATGATATGATGGACTTGCTAGGCTATGTTAGGATGGTATGATTTTGTATTCAAAAAGCCCTTTAGTGATTTTGATGTTGGATCATTTTCATTGGCTAATAACTAATACATAAAACATTTTAGGTTATATGTATCCAAACATAAACTTATAGAATTTTATACATAACATACATATACCTACGGAATGTCCCCTACCCAAGGAAAATTTATAATAAAAGAATAATGGAACCCCATATTACTCCCATGTGGCTGAACCTAGTGTTGAACCCTATATGTTTCAGAACCTATTATAGAGCTCCCATCAGTTTTTTATCCTACTGTGGAACCATAATATATATGTCTGAACCTGTAGTGGAACCCTCATATATGGAGTTTGGGAATCTAATATTGGGTAATCGTGGCATAGGCTTTAATGATGAGGCTAGTGATAGTAAGGAGAGTAATTTTATTCAGATCATCATCTATAGGCAAGTTAAACTATTTGTTTAACTTAAACATTAACAATGATATAGAGTGGGTTTCTGGCGCTCTTGATGTTACAAAATATGTTGGAATGCATTATAAGAAGGTGGGGGGTGCTTAACAATCAAGTTCTTATATTCAGATCATCATCTATAGACAAGTGAGTGCTCTGATTTATATATATTAGACTTTCAGCTCATTTGAGAAGGTGAAAGAAAGACTCTGCTTGCATTTTACCCCTGGAATTTACACACATTTTTAACTTGGCCTGATTTACATACATGCTTTAAGTAGTTTTTACGGATTACCTTGGCGTGATTTTCTTAATGTATGCTTATCTAACATCTTTGGTCTATTATACACAAATTTACTCATACACATGAATACAACTCATTAACAACAATTGCAACTGTCCAAATAATAGAGGTTGTAAAAAAGATTAATTATTGAAGATAATAGAAAAGCCATTCCACTACTACTTTATACTTAAGAATTCTGACAACACCAGGGATACGTCAATGGATGACAACGATCTATCATAAAAAGATGTTCTTCAAATAGTCAAACGACACAAGACTCAGCTTCGTAACATTTTATCTTTATAAAATTCATATGTAAAATGATAATTATAAAACTCATTGTTCTTTCGTACATAAAGCTACATAACATAAAATTAACTGGTTTGTTTAGCTCTTGTTACAATTAAGGTAAAATATATTTTCTATTTAAAAAAAAGAGACTCATCTGTTGCAGTGATTTAGGGTTTTTCCTTGAGGTGTGCAATGGGAACAAAGATGGTGGAGCTATGGTCAATAGATGATGACTGTGCTGCTGTTGTTTTAGCTCTTCTGTTTGGTGTTCTTACAAGTAATATATTTTGTAGATTTTCCAACTTTGTTTTCAAATAACAAAGCTTCTGCATATGAGCTTCTGCTGACGTGGCTTCTTGATTATCACTTTGGGTCCCACCAATTACATCACAGTCAACCTTCAAAACATATTAAACAAAAGCTACTCAACTATAGCATTCTACTTTCTGTTTTTTAAGTTGCAATTTTTCACATGTGTATAAAATTGTTTTTTGAAAATAGAAAAGTAAAATAATAAAAAATTGGTGTTTTGAAAGAAAAGAATACCATGTTGGTTGAAGTAGAAACAAGTAAATCTCCATTGTCATGCTGCTTTGTAGCATTTGTGGGAATATTCTCTGATAGAATTTCATTATTAGCAGATTCCTTTGAGATAGAAGGGCCATCATTTTGAGTTGGCTTATCTTCTGCCTGAATAAGTTATTAAATATAATCGATAAGATTTTATTATTCAAAACAAAATAAAAAAATAAATATGTAAAAAGTAAAAACTCACCTTCCTTTTAAGAGACAGGTAGCGTGCATTCTTGAACCATTTATTAACCTAAAAATTGGCACGGAATTTATACAGCTATTTTCTTATAATGAGGATAAAAAGGGCATTTACGTCTTTTACCTTCTCAAGGTCGAGACCTAACTGATTGGAAATCTCTTCTTTAACAGCTCGAGAGGGAAGTTCATTCTTTGCAAAAACAAGGCGAAGCTTCTGATATAATAATACAAAATTAATAAATTCCAACAAACAGTTAAAAGAAAAAGGAAAAAGGAAAAAAGAAAACTACCTCTACAGCTTCAGATGGAATCCTAAAAAACGATCTTTTACTATCTGTGTCATTCTTTGATGTTTCAGCAACATCTTTTCCCATTTTGTCCTCAGTTTCACAAAGAGTCATTAGGGTACTTGCTGCATCCGACTCTTTCTCTCTCCTCTTTCTGTTTGTGGGACCCCAATCTTCATCTTCACTTACCTGTTCATTTGCAAGAGCATCTTTTCCAAACATTTCCTGTATCATGACATAAAATGAGGGCATTCAAGTCTTTTCCACAAATAAAACTGTCTTGAGTTGTGAAAAAACAATATACTCACATCATAAAGCTTTCTATAATCAACAGCCCGACGTTGTCTTCGACCACTCACGGGTTCAAAATCAGAACCGGAACCGGAACCAGAACCCGGAATAAAATCACCGGAATTGACTTCGATTCCCAGAATTCTCAATTCCCGGGAATCATCAACAAGAATCTCATCATCCAGTGATATAAAACTGTAATTACTGCTTCCATCATCATCACATGATTCACCTTCACCTTCAGAACAAAGTTTAATATTGCTACAACTACTTTCATGTTTTTCAACTCTTTCTGGATCATAATCATCATCCCCAGAATCATCAGAAGGCCAATCTTCTTGATTAAGTAGAGTTTCACCACCATCAGGTAATGTAGCCTCAACCTTGAACACCTCCTGTTTTTCATTTACTTTTTATGTCAAATAAATAACGATTCACAAGTTTTGTGTAAATTACTAAATTAAAACTACCAACCTGCCAATTGATGTCATTGGAATAGCTAGTTCCAAGCTGTGCATTCATTGCATCTATGATATCAGTCTTACAAATGCAATATTTACAAAACCACCCTTGGTCTCCTGGAGGAACTGATTCACCAAACAAAGTAAACTTCTTTCAATCATTCATCCATAATAACTTTTTTTAAAAAAATGGGAAAGATTTTAAATAAAAGAGCTTACTGTTTTCAGTTAAAAGCGGAGGGTCGATGCACATTTGATGAAATGCACAGTTGCAAGTCCCATCACAGAGTATAATGTCATTATCTGGAAATGCTTCCCTCAGCTTACACTTTGCACAGTGTATCTAAATAAAATTAACATTAAACAAATTGTTGTTAACAATTTTATTGTGATTAAGTTCATGTTTAGTAGATATTGGAGACATGATTACATACATGGTCATGGTGTATGGATCCATCTGGAGCTATAACAGATTCATCAATGCGTCCATCTGTGCTAAGTAAGTCCAGCTGGCGTAAGGCATCACGGAGTCCAAGTTTACATTTCAGAATCTGTTTTTTGGCCCTTTGAAGTTCTTTTTCTGGCTTTATCTTTTCTCGGCTGAATATAATAAAGAAAACAATTACTTACAGCATCAAACTCAAAGATATGAGAGAAATTGAGAAATGATAAATACCTCTGACCTTTCCAGCCTTCAGTTGAGTATGCGTCTAGAAGGTTCTGTTCCTTTCTCATTTTAAAGAGAAGGTACCTTGTACGCCCTTGCAGCCTAGAAGCTTCATCAACCTCAACTTTGTTTTTTGTCCTCTTTCGTTTTCTTCTCTTCTTAAGCTTCTCTGAAGTGAGATCTGTATTTTCACATTTTGCAGTTTCTTCTTGATTTTGGAAAGTTGTTATTGATGGATTAATCAAGGATTTGATTGTTTTATGAGAGGCATTTCTGCGTTTGAAGTCGTTCCTTTTGCTGTTGGTTAAAAACTCAACAAGCTTTTCCTTTGACATTGGAGTTTTTGGTTTTCTTGATCGCTTTGTATGTAGCTTTTGTGTGCTGCATTTTGAATGCAACAATTTTCCAATATTCTTGCGAGTTTCTTTTGTCTCTACTCCAGTCATGTCGATTGTCTATGTATTAAACTAAGAAGGAAAGCAGAAGAGTTTGTTAAATGAAGTAATAACCCTGAAAAGAATGATGGTGTATGTATCTGGAGTCCTGTAAAATGATACCATATAACCTATGTGATGTACCAAGTTGAAGTTCAAAATCAACATGACATTACAAAGGTAAACAGAACAGAAGAAACCCTAGACAAAATTTATGATATTTGACATGCTGCAAATGAAGGGAAGTTCAAAGATCTTGGCTATATGAGATATAACAGCAAGGAAATCAAGTTAAGAGAACCAAAATTTAGCTTGAACTTTAATCAATTGAGAAGAACAGTGATTACGATCAACCATAAGTTAACGATTCAGTCAACTTCACATATCATTCCTACTAACGAGAGTGCCAGTAGTGAGGTGTCTTCTTCGAGTTACAAGCAAAAAACTCCAGCATTGCTACATGGAATGTATCTTCCATCAATTGATTGACTACAAGGAGAGAACGATTCAGAAATTTGGCATACGCACAGTAACTTAATAGGGAATTAGGGATCAATTATGAGAAGGCGTGCAATTTATAATAATTTAAAACGGAAATAAGGTTTCTAGGGCTAGATTCACAATTAACAACACAAATTGTGACAGTCATCATCAAAAAACGAAAATAAGTCAGAAACATGAAACTGTAGCATGAGAAAGTTCGAGAGAGAGAGAGAGAGAGAGAGAGAGCACCTGATGATGAAGATGATCTGCAGCTGCAAGGGAAGAAAATGCACATACATATGTGTACATCGGGAAATAAAGTGAATTTATTGGACAAACGATTCGAATTCTTTGAAGAAAAAACTTGAAATTCGAAGTGAGATTTGTAAATGATCACTGAATTTGGTTATATGTTTAGTCATCATCAAGATGAGTCTACTTCAGTTCCATGGTGGAGCTTTTGTAGTTGTCGTCTATGGTCGCCGGTCGCCAACCGTCAGCTGTCTCCGAGGAGGTTCAATAAGACGGGTCAAGAACCGTGGGCCGGTCTCACGAGCTCAGTAGTAACGTCGAGCCAATAGTGTGGCAATTGTGTGTGCTATGTCTAGCGTAAAGGTGGAATTATAATAAAATGACAAAATTGCAAAAATGGTCCTATGCAATTTTTTTTTTTTTTGGGATTTAGTCTTAATTTAAAAAAAAAAAAAAAATTGGATTGGTGGTCCTTTTGAAATTAGTTTCGTTGCATTTTTTATCTTTTGTTAAGTGAAATGGCTATAATACCCTTAGGATAGTTATTTTTTATTTTTCTTTCAATTTTTTAAATCTAATAGTTATTTTAATAATTAAAAAAAAGTCCACCTCTCTCTCTCTCTCTCTCTCTCTCTCTCTCTCTCTCTCTCTCTCTCTCTCTCTCTCTCTCTCTCTCTCTCCATACATGAGTTTCTTCATCCTTGAACCTTTAAGCACATCGATAACCTGCAATTAAAAACATATACATCGGTCCAAACGATTACTAAAACCACTCAACCCCAAATGATCAGTTAACTAATTTCAAAAATCATATTTAGGGTTTCAAAGTTTTACCTTAAATTTCTTTCTGTCCAAATCGTAAAGAGGCAAGAAAATGTGAATGGTTGACCACCACAATCACAATCAGGACCTCCGACCGTCGGCCTCCATTGCAACAACCACCAAACCACTGATAGCAGCAATACCGCAGCCACTGTCATCGATCTACACCAGAAACAACAACAACAACAAGTTCGCTTCCTGCATGCATCACTTCCTTCCTCCCGCTATCTCAAATACGGTCCCTCTATGTGTGTCTATTGCTAGATATCAAGATATCACCCAATTTCACCTCTATCTAGAAGGGAGCCATAAATCACAAAAAAATAGACTTTTACACAGTATGTGTGCGTGTGTGTTTGTACATACTTCATAGTTGCACTTTCTAAGCATTCTCCAAGATCTCGAGAAAAATTGGCTCGTCATTTGGGGGTTGTTGCAGTATCAGACCCAAATTGTTTAATTATTTTTGGATAAAAAGACGAAACCAACCAAATTCAGGAAAATCAATAGAAATGGAAACAGATAGAAGATGAATTTATAGAAGATTTGGACTTTTAGAGAGAGAGAAAAGAAAATGGGGAAGAAATCATACGAGGGTGTATATTTACACATGGTTTTGTGCTTGGTTTCTTCATCTCCAGGAGAGAGAGAGAGAGAGAGAGAGAGAGAGAGAGAGAGAGAGAGAGAGAGAGAGAGAGAGAGAGAGAGAGAGAGAGAAACCTCTATTATTTTTTAATTGTTAAAATAAATAAATAAATATTAAATTTAAAATGAAAGAAAAATGATAAATAAACACCCTAAGGGTATTATAGTCATTTCAATTTTCAAAGCGACTATTTTGACATACAGACTAGTCCAAAAGGACCACGAAGCAAAAAAAAAAAAAAAAAAAAAAAAAAAAAAAAAAAACAAAAAAACCTGTAGTTTGAACTAAAACCCCAAAAAAATGCATACCATAAGGACCATTTTTGCATTTTTGTCTAATAAAAAATAGATTAATAGCAAAAATCGTGTATATGATTAGGGTCTGTGTGTTTGGTAATTTAATTTTTTTATGGGAAATTAAGTAATTTAATTATCTTTTAAATTTGTATTTGAAAAAAAGTAATCTATATTTTTTGAAAAAACATTTTATTTGGAATGAGATGTTTCGGACCAAGAGAAAACAGTTTTTTCACTAACTCCGGAATGACATTCCGAATTCCAAACCAACATTCTGAATTCTGAATTAAAATTTCGGATCTCGGGAAAAATAATAATAATAATAATAACTTCGGAATCTCAAGAACAAGTCCAAAATCCGAATAATTCCGGAATTTCAAGAAAAAAATCATTTTTTCTTAATTTAACAAAAAGTTAAACAAACATAGTAATATGAACTATATATAACATTAGTGGATCAAATTAAACATTTTATTAAAAAAAACAATGACATTAAACATTAGGAAATTTAACATTCAAAATCCCAAAAAAAATCTTTGAAAATTAAAAGAAAATTAATTAAAAAAAACTGAAAAAAATATGAAAAGTACTCCGGAATATGAATTGTACTTCGGAATTAAGCATCACGAAGAAAGTGGTTATTTTCAAAAATTGAAAGAATTTGATTATTTTCTTTGAAAACTCATTTATAATAGTTAGTTTACTCAAATTCCATTTTTTTATTGAGTCTAATATTATTTTGTTATGATGTTAGTCTTTGATAATTATAAAAGAGAAATCTCCAAAAAGTCTTAAAGTTTTGAGAAAAATCACGATTAAGACTTAAATAAACTTGACTAAAAATACATAGAAAACTAACTAATGTTTATAATTTGGTCATTTATGACTTTTTCAGGAGGTCAATTGTTGATGTGGAGTGCCAAGGTGGAAGGATGATTGATTTGGCGGTCAAGTTGTAAATATTGTCTAGTATTCTGGGCTTTTTATTCAAAAAAAAAAAAGACTTAATCGTTATTTTTTTCAAAACTTTAAGATTTTTCTGGGGATTTCATAAAAAACTATTATATTTTAGATTTTTGATCTTTTTTTATTTATGAATTTAAGATTATATAAAACAAATGGTTCCACCTTTTACCGACTCTCCTTTAACCGTGTCTCCATCTCTCATCATTTCTTCTTCTCATGCCTTTTTCTAACAAGACTCATCCTCGTCAGCTCCTTTCTTTCTTTAGGAACACCGTCATCGTCGCCTCTTCTTCTTCGACCTTCGCCTCTCTCTCTCTCTCTCTCTCTCTCTCTCAAAACACCATCCCTACCACCTCTCCATCTCCAGCACCATCCCTCCCATCCCTACTAAAGTTAATGTTTAGTAAACATCTTACATATATGATGTTAACGTTTATCATATTCGATAAGCACCATATCTAACCATCCTCCTCCCTTCCCCTCACCCTTTTTCTTTATGGGTTCATTTTCTTGGTTTTAACACCAATGCGTCTAGAAAACATAATCTCAACACCGATGGTAGTTGACTACAAGCTAGGGTCGAAATTTGATGCAAGTTGATAGAAATTGTGTTTTTATTTTTATTTTATTTTTTCACTTTTTTGCTTACAATTAGGTCTTAGGGTTAAATTTTATTTTGTCTCATTCTTTTAATTGTATTTTTGTTGAAACAAGAAAGTGACCATCATCAGCTAAGATGGACCCGAAGACCCTTTGCCTAAGTGAACCCGAAGAGAGCTACCTGGAGACTACTTTTGTCATCTTGTGAACCCGCAGACGAGAAGATGACCCAGAGATTAACATTACATGAAGATTGTTTTAAGTTACCTTTTACTAACGTTGCTTGTAATAGTTGTAGTATCTGGTGTACCATTCAAGGTCACTATAGTCAGTTACTTTATGTTATTTTATCATTTCATTGTAACTTTTGGGACTCTATAAATAAAGCTTCCCATTTCATGTATTCTTACCACTTCAACTTCAGAGCTTATAAAATATATGGTCGTTCATCTCTATATCAAGTTATCTTAAATGATACTTAAACCGAGTCCCTTTTCACTTATGTTGTTCATCATATACTAACTTGTGTTTGCATGCAAACATTGTTACGATTCAACTAAGTGCCTACTTGTTTACTGCTTATCGATATAAACTTGTTGCTATTTACTTTCCTTATATTTCCGCAATCTAACTTATCTAACTTATTATTGTTAAGCTAACAAGATCCATTGAGATTAACTTATTATCTTGTTACTAACTATTATCAAAGTTTTTCTCTCAACAATTAGCATCAAAGTCGTACATTGATGATCTAAGCGATTATTTCAATGGAATGAATCCCGATCGGTTCTCTTATCTTGATGATGTTTCGTTCTTATGATGAGTTTTTCTGATTTTAAGTGTTGATTCAAGCTTTCAAGAATAAAAAAAGTTGTTGTTGCTTGTTCATATTTTCTGTTGGAAAATCCAGGTTTGCAAAGTGCTTATGTTGATGTTGAAGAAGAAGA